CTACGTGGCCATCTGCCAACCCCTGCACTACGGGACCCTCCTGGGCAGCAGAGCTTGTGCCCACATGGCAGCAGCTGCCTGGGCCAGTGGGTTTCTCAGTGCTCTCCTGCACACGGCCAATACATTGTCACTGCCCCTCTGCCAGGGCAATGCTGTGGGACAGTTCTTCTGTGAAATTCCCCAGATACTCAGGCTCTCCTGCTCACACTCAGACTACCTCAGGGAAACTGGACTTGTTGTGGCTAGTTGTTGTTTAGGCTTTGGGTGTTTTGTTTTCATGATGATGTCCTACGTGCAGATCTTCAGGGCCGTGTTGAGGATCCCCTCGCAGCAGGGACGGCACAAAGCCTTCTCCACATGCCTCCCTCACCTGGCCGTGGTCTCCCTGTTTGTGACCACTGGCATCTTTGCCAACCTGAAGCCCCCCTCTGTGTCCCCCCCATTGCTGGACCTGGTGATGTCATTTCTATACTCAGTGGTACCTCCAGCAGTGAACCCCGTCATCTACAGCCTGAGGAACCAGAGGCTCAAGGATGCCTTCAGGGAGATGATCACTGGATGTTTTTTAAAAGCAATGAGCGGCCTGTTTTCATCAGCACATATTTCAGAGTGTAACTCACTGCATCCTTAGCCTGTCTACTGTTATTTTTGTTGTTAATGATGTTTTCTTACATTTGATAGCATTTTCATGCTCTTTCTAATTCAATATCTGCATTTTTCTTCTGGCGGATCATGTGTGCAGAGGGAAAGGGGAAGAGTGTCCCAGCACAGCAACATGGCCAGGGAGCACCAGTACTTGGTGTCTCCAGAGCTGCTCTCTCCACTCCCACCCACTCCTCCTGGTCCCCTGTGATGGGGTAAGGCCTGAGGGTTCTGGCAGCTTGGTCCTCATCGTGTTCTGTGGCCGTGCTTTGACCACGGACAAGGACAGCCCTTGGGCACCTCTGGCACAGAGATGGCATCTCTAACAGCATTTCCATCAGGAAAAGCAATCTTCTCAGTGTAGTGCATGAAGATGTAGGCACCTGGGAGTGGCTGCACGAGAGCAATTGTCAGTGAACAGCTCTCCTGGATGGAGTTGAACAGAACCAGTGTCCAGTGGCTTTTACTTTTCAGCTCAGACTCTCCTAAGAGGAGGCACTTTCTGAAGAGAACAGCGTGTCTGTGCAGACGGTGCCTGCTGCTGGAGGGAGGAACGCTGGTGTGTGCAGTCAGTGCCAGGGCTGGGGATGCAGAAATGCTCTGGCTGGTCCTGGCTCCTGGAGTGACCAAGGCCACTGCTGAATCTCGTGTTCCACACGAGGTGTGCTGAGAAGGGAAAGGGTCCAAGGAAGTGAAAGGTGGCACCTCCAGTTGGGAGCAGAGAGGAGAGTTGAACAACAGTTGCCTTGCATTCCACATACGACAAGTTCAAAATGAAGGGAACATGAGGGTTAAAGTCTCTTCACTAGTGGAGAACCCAAGGAGGATGTCATTCAATCTCCCGGCTTTGGTCACGATGACGAGTTCTCGAATGAAGCCCCTGTGCCCTGTTCCCCTTTACTTCTGAACCCTTGGCTGTTCCAGTGCCACTGGCTCTGCAGCACCAGTGGGCCTTGA